ACAACAAAACCTTTGATAAAGTGCGGCCTGATCACCTAATCAGACTCCTGACACAAAAGGATTTAGATAAACGAGACATCCGACTAATAGCAAATATGTACTACCATCAGAAATCAGTAGTGAGAGTAAAGAATAATACCACTGAAGAAATTGAAATAAAGCGAGGTGTGAGACAAGGGTGTACTGTCACCAACCCTGTTTAATCTCTATTCCGAAGACGTAATGAATAGAACACTTTTTGAGCAATCCGTAGGTATTAAAATAAATGGTGTTAGATTAAACAATCTGAGATTTGCCGACGACACCGTTCTGGTCGCAGAAACACTTGAAGAGCTACAGACATTGGTGAATAAGATAGCAGACTGCAGCGAAGAATATGGACTATCTTTGAACATAAAGAAAACTAAATTTATGGTAATATCGAAACCAACACAAAATGTCCAAAATTTATATTTACACAATGAAATTATCGATTAAGTTAGCAAATACACATATTTAGACACTTTTATAAATGAAGACAACGATAGCTCAGCAGAAATCAAAATAAGAATAGAAAAGCCAGATCCATATTCACTAAAATGAAGAGAGTGTTCTGCGGAAGAGATTTGAGCCTTGAAATGAAACTTCGCCTAATAAGATGTTACGTACTTTTTGTGCTGTTCTACGAAATGGAGTCATGGACGTTGAAAAAGATTGATATAAAAAAATTTGAGGCATTTGGATGTATCGCAGAATTCTGAGAATATCATGGACCGAGAGAGTCACAAATGCCGAGGTCTTGAGAAGAATGAATAAAGGAAGTCATATTTACGATCAAAAAACGAAAACTGTAATACTTGGGACACATTACAAGAGGCGAAAGATATGAACTGCTTCGAATAATTATGCAAGGGAAAATAGCAGGAAAAAGGTATAGCCCTGATGATCGCCAACCTTCGGAACGAAGATGGCACTTGAAGAAGAAGAAGTCCATGTGACAGAAGATCAAGAAGCCTTAGCAATGATGATCGTCAATGTCTGGTAATTCTGATATGGCACGTGAAGAAGATGAAAAAAATATATGAATATGTACGTTTTAATAAAAGGAATGAATATGCAAATATATGAAGGTATAGAAAAAAAAAACAAGTTTGTGGGTTAAAAAACATTCGTTAGTGGACTCAAATATCAAATTCAGGACAATTAGTCCATGTGACAGAAGATCAAGAAGCCTTAACAATGATGATCGCCAATGTCGGGTAATTCTTATATGGTACGTGAAGAAGACAAAAAAAAATATATGAATATGTGTTTTAATAAAAGAAATGAATATGCAAATTAGGGTAGGTCATATACCTTGAGCTGTATTGTACGTCGAGCCACCCCAGTAAATATATTGCTATTTTATGTGAATGGGCTGGCATCAATGTAAACTATCGGGCATTAAATTCGAATCCCATTCAAGTGACTATTGTTAGATCGACGGCTACACGTGTTTTTTTCATGAAATTTTGATTTTAGGAGTCTAAAGTAGCTTATTTTCTAATAATTCTTCTTTTATATAGGATAAACAAAAGTCAGTATACAAGCTATTTAGTGTATGGAATACTATACTTATACCTGATATTCGAATATATCTGATACACTTTTTGTTGATTTTATCCATTATTTTGGGGTAATGCAATTTGTTTACTCTTTTATGCATGGTCATGTACCTTGAGCTAGGTTGGGGCACCTACCTTGAGCCATGGCCCAAGGTACATGATACCTCTAACTTAATTTGCAAATTGTATTTTTTAATTCAAAGACTCTGTATTTTTGTTCATATTTGTGTATAGCAGTTAAAATATAAAAAATAACCGGATATAATCTTAGGCAAGCAGGTACAACAATTATTTTTTTAATTTGCAGATGCCTATACGTAGAAATAAAGTGAAAAAAAAACTCAGTAAAGAGCAAATTAGACTAGCTGTAGCTGCATTTAAAAATGGAACGAGTTAGCGGAAAGCCTGTGTCGATTTTGATGTTTCGAGGGTAACCCTTCAACGACCACTGAAAGTCGATGATAACGAACTTCAAGATTATAAGTCCTATAAAAATTGAGCTGTAAAAGCAGTCTTTACTTCGATAGAGGAAGCAAGTCTCGTAAAATATCTCAGTGCTTCATCAAAAATGCATTATGGTCTTCACAGAATCAGTTTAGATCTTTAGCGTATGTTTTTATCAAATCAAATAATAAAAATATTTCTGAATCTTGGGACCAATGAAAAAGCTAAAAAGCAGTGGTTACCCGGGTGTATGAAGAGATATTAGGAACTTAGTCTTAGGAAATCCGAGAAAACTAGCCTTTCTGGGGCTACGAGCATCAACAGACATAATGTTAGAATTTTTTTACAAATTTGAAGAAGGTGCTTATAAAATTCAAATTTACTGCTGCATACGTCTCCAACATGGACGAAGCGAAAAATTGCACTATTTAAAACACTACAAAGATTATTGTACCTAAGGGCCAAAAACAAGTAGCCGCTGCTACATTCGGCGCGAAAGATGCTTAAACGTAACAATGATAGCTTGCATTAACGCTTTGGGAAATAGTGTACCGGCCGTGTTTATATTTCCTAGGGTCAACGTCAAACCTTGCATGAGTGGTGTGCCAGCAGATTTATTCGGATCAGCTTATATATATATATATATATATATATATATATATATATATATATATATATTATATATATATATATATATATAGTCAAATTCTGAAAAATTTGGTTTTGTGATTTCAACATTTCATTGATAAGGAAAGATCAAGTGCTGAGAACAAAAAGCTAATAATATTAGATAACCACGAAAACCATTGTCCTGTTAAAGCAGTAACATTAGCCAAAAATAATAAGATAACTTTGTTAACATTGGTGTCACAAACTCCAACTCTTGAACCGCACCGTTTTTGAGCCTTATAAACAATACTATAATACTGCTTGTGATAAATGACTTAATACTTATTACTTAAATGACTGAATACCGAATCTAAAATGCCAGTAGTTATTTATTCTGATAAATGGGGTTATCAAAATTGTAATAATGTCCTGGCCAGCATCCTGTTAGTGTTTCAAAAATATCTTGAACCGGCTACCAAATGGAATATGATTCGGTACATAGAATGATAGAAAGGAGTATTAAAAATAAGGAAAGCCATTTACTCAGTAACTATGCTTTCATTATAGCTCAAGCAAAGAAGGAAGTTAAGCCATATAGAGTCAAAATATCAGACCATACCTTTTTTAAAGACTACTTATTCTCCAACCACATGCGATATGCCTCAATCCGACCAGGAAGAAAAGTATATGACCCAATCATTACTGATATAAAATATATCAAATACGACCCAGTTGGGAGTATATAAATAAAAACTGACCATAAAGGAGATGTTCCTATCAGACCAAAGACTATGACAACAATTCTGGACTATCCACCTTTATTTCTATCGCCTCCTAAAATAAAAACAAAGAAATGGCAACATTCACAAGATTTAAAATCGACCCTACCAAAAGATTCGCATTTATTTTATAATGGCCTTTTACACGGATAGATCTTTTTATTTTGTTCTTTTAGGCATATGTACCTACTTATGAAATAATTTTTGTTCATTGTTTTTCGAAGTTTTAATATTATGTTTTATAATAATAAGTGTTTTATATTACCACTTAAACAATTATTTAATTTTATTTGGATAAAAGAGCATTTATGCTAAATTTTGATAAACAATAACTCCTAAGTTCACATTAAACAAAAATCAGTATATCCTATGAGTAACATCACTTAAAGCAATAGTTCCTATCTAGCTTAACAAAACTAAATTCAATCAATTAATTAATATTATTATTAATATTAATTATTAATATTAACTTTTTTTCATAAGAAGTAAAAATGTCGCTTTCACACAGATCATCAAACACAAACAAACAATTGAAATAACATATTAAAATTTTATAATTATAAAGTGTTTTGTCTCTCCTGAAAAGTTTAGGTAAAGTCACATAAGAGATATTGTCAGGTCACCGAAGAAATAATGGTTATTCATCGAGATAAAAAATATTCTATCTCCTAATTTGAACCAACAAATACACTTTCACAAAATTTTATTGCAATCGGTTCAGTCATGATACTATGAATAACAAGATAGGATCTTCCCGTAGCTCAAAATCGGTCGGGTCGCGCATGCCGTCATTGGAGACTAGAATTTGAATTCTTGTTAAAGTTAAATGAGATTTGTATGCATTCTGTGATGAAATTACTAGACGAAAATAAGTTAAGAGGTTTAATAATTACAATAATCGTACACATAAGGATATCTCCAAACTATTTATTAAAGATTATTTATTGATATATACAAAAACTGACATTTCGAACGTGCAAGTCTCCAATGACGTCACAAAAACATGCGCAATATCTTATCTTATAGTCATAGTATCATGGGTTCAGTAATTTTTAAATATTGGACAAACATCGTGACACTAGATTTTTATATATAAAGATGTTAGCAATAATTAGGTTATACATAAATAACCTAATTATTGCTCTGGAAAGGGTTAAATTTCCAACTCACGATATTTTTATTGCACATAATACTCTAATTCTCATTGCTCATAATACTCATGAGTATAAAAGAACCAACCCAAAAATCCGTTTCAATAAAACCATCAAGACTATCAAGAAAAGTTTAATAAAATTGACTTCATAAATTGCAATGTGATTTTTATTAAATAAGCAACCTGATTTTATATATTGTAAACTTGACTTTTATCTACAAATGATATTCCAGATCCTTAGACTTAGTTTTTTTTGTAAGACAAACTTCTTACTTTAATGAGGTTTGTTCTCTTTATTTGTTTAATTGTGGTGAATGTACATACACTTACGTACATTGTTTAAATCATTAAAACTTTTTAATAGGATTAATGAAAATTAAACCGTTTGAGACACGTACAGCTCCATTTATAATCATGTCGTTGTTGTTACAGTCGCAGTCAAGGAGCTGCAGGCGGCATTCCTCATAGCACCATTCCCACTTTGGGCCGTCAAAACTCGTTGACAAGTCAAGACATTACCACCAAGTTTAACTCTCTGCCCCGAGACACTAGAGCGGCGACAAGGTATATATAACACGCTATTAATTTAATTTTAATTAAGAATATTGTTAGAATATGTCAACTCGTTAAACTTGCAGTGTTGAACTATTTTGTATAGTTCAGGAGCTTTTTAATTTAATAATTCACGTTCGTTAATTATCCATATGCACTACACGGAATAATTGCTGTCTTCACTATTAACCCTTAACTCTGCTGATGAAATAATGTTGCACATAGTTGTTGATAGGGTTCTCAAAGATCCCAAATTTTTTAAACCGTAAAAATACAGTTCTTCAAAAATTAAAATTTTATTTATAAGTAAGAGTAAGAACCATACTTTCCTTTATATTATATATACTATTAATAAACAATTTTCACATATATTGGCAGTGTGACCTTGTGACATTGTGGGCAAATGTCGTAAAATATATTAAGATAGGACGTCTGAGGTGAAAAGGATATGTAATGCGGATGGAACAAAATGACCTGGCTAGAAAAACGCTCCTTGATATACCCATTGGTCAGAGAAGAAGAGGAAGACCCAGAACAACGTTCCTTCATAACATCGATGAAGACATGAGAAATATGGGAATACGTACTTGACGAAGATAGGCGATGGATAAGGACAACTGGAGAGAAATTATTGAGGAGGCTAGGATCCACGCAAGGTTGTAAAGCCAGAATAATGATGATAATGATCTGGGCAAATATATTTCTCGCATCTTCTATACACTGTTTTACCTTTCCTAGCCTTAATTCTAGGGCAGAAAGAACAACGAGGTTTTCGGATTGGTTACTCATTCTGAAAAGTCATCAGTATATTTCGGTCCAATTATTTTCTAATAATGCTTTGGAGTTCACGTTATAACCTATCCAGTTTCCTTTGTCGTGTATGATCCATCACCAGTGGTTTTTGTAGTGTAAGAAGACGATTTATTCTCATCTAATCTGTGTCAATTTGACATTTTAGCAATATGTGGCTATTAACGGTAGCTATATTCAAAATTTGGTCAAAAATCATCATTAGCCAGCGTCATGTTTGCCATTTAACGTAATAATTAAGGCCAAATTGACCTAATGCGGGCTGAGAAAAGGGCTGGGTACAAGGGAGGCTCTGTTTGCAATGAACGTTCTCTCACAGAAATGTTTAGACATGAACCAAGAAATTTACGCCTGCTTTATTGATTTCGAAAAGGCCTTTGACAAAGTACAACATGAACCACTAAGACAAGTTCTAATAAAGACAAATATAGACAGCCGAGATATTCGAATTATATGCAATCTATATTGGAATCAAACAGCAAATGTCAAGGTTGAGGGCAGACTAACAGAAGAAATTCAAATTCGTCGAGGAGTCCGGCAGGGATGTACCTTATCGCCACTTTTATTTAATCTGTATAGTGAAGCTATCTGTGAAAAAGCACTCGAGGAAGAAGATCTTGGTCTGATAATAAATGGTGAGACGATCAACAATATAAGGTATGCTGACGATACAGTTCTCCTAACGGGAACGCTAGTAAAACTACAATATCTCATTCAAAGTCTCAATATATACTGTAAAAGTGACGGCTTGAAAATTAATTTGAAAAAAACTAAATTTATGGTAATCACGAAATCAACGAACATCAGAGCTAATCTTGTAATAGACAATACAACGATTGAGCGTGTGCCCTGTTATAAATATCTAGGTGCTTGGATCACAGACGATACTGATCAAACAAAAGAGATTAGATGTAGAATAGAAATCGCTAGATCAGTCTTTAATAGAATGCGCAAACTCTTTTGCAATCGTGATATCAATATAAAGTTACGAATACGAATGCTGCGGTGTTATATCTTTTCTACCCTGTTATATGGAGTTGAGGCTTGGACACTAAAACAGTTGACCATAAAAAACATCGAAGCTTTCGAGATCTGGTGCTATAGGCGCATTCTCAGAATATCATGGATGGACCGCGTCACTAACACGCAAGTACTCCAAACTTTAGACAAAAGATGCGAAATTCTAAATGAGATAAAAACTAGAAAGATGGAATACTTGGGGCACATTGTGAGAGGTGAAAAGTACGAACTTTTAAGAAACATTATGCAGGGCAAAATTAAGGGCAAAAGAAGTGTGGGAAGAAGAAAAATATCGTGGCTTCGTAATCTACGTGAATGGTTCGGGTGTAGTTCGATTGAACTTTTTAGGCGCGCTGCTAGCAAAGTCGCAGTGGCCATGATGATTTCCAATCTCCGCTAGGAGTGGCACGAGAAGAAGAAGAATGACCTAATGCATTCAAGCCGGTCTTAGTTCGATTGTAATCGTGGATTATCTCTGGCTTAAAACTTTCATCATTTATTTGTTGATCATCATGCATTGTTGAAATAAGTCTGACGGCTCAATTTTTGTGGCACATTAAAGCATATTGTCATTCCATTCTTATGGCCAAATAATGATGATCCTACTTGTCGATTTCTATTTGGATCAAGTGGTAATTATGACTTAGTAATTCTTATAGTTCCAAGAAGAGTCAATCCTGACTCCTTCAGTTATCCACACAATCCAATTGAAGAGATCCAGTTGTCTTTAGAAATGTTGCGGTTTGATTTCTGTAAAGTGGTGACAGCGTCAGAAGGTTGCTGGTAGGGACTAACACACCAACTTTGGCTCTGCTTCCCTTACCGGCATAAACAACCATATTGCAAATGTAAATGTACGTGAATCACATAAGCACATAATTTTTAATCCATATTCAGCTGGTTTCTTGGGCCTATACATTTTGCCAACAAACAACAAACATCTGTGTCGGAAAGGTATCAGCATTTCGTCAACAGCCAAATATTTTTCAGGGACATATGAGGACTGGCAGTTATGTATAAATATGTTACAGTAGTCTCTCTTTATAATGATTTTCTATATAATGATAATTTCCCTATAACGATAAAAATAGTAAACGTTTTTTGGATCGTCATAAGGACAATATATTAATTGTTTCTATATACCGATATCATTCTCTCTTTAAAACGATGACTTTTCAGCGTTCAATAGTCGATCGCAAATGTGTTATTGTGTTTAAAGTTCAGACTACCTAAGTCACGAGTGGCACGATCATTGTCCAGCGATTGTTTTGTTTCGCGCTTAAGGAATGTTGTCAGTCCTCCAACTCAGTGTTATCCAAAAATTGAGTGACACGCTTTTATTGTTCGCGCGGCGTGCCTTACTGTTTTCAGACAGATGTTGTTATCTATTGACGACTTCTCTCTTTTAGTTTTAGTTGTGTCTCAGTGTGTGAACAGCCAACATGTTGTCGAAAAAGTGTAAAGCGCTCACGGTGAAAGATAAGTTATCGATAATTCGGAAAATAGAGAAAGATGAAAAGCAATCGGATGTTAATTGCCATAAATGGCTGTCTCAGTCAACAGTGGCTACGATATGAAAGCACAGAAAAAATGGCTTGAAGCGAAAAAGGAGGGCGGTAGCAGGAAGATGTTGCCAAAACCTTAGCACTTTAGTGGTTCCAACAACAGCGTACAAACCATATTCTACTTTCTGGGCATATGGCCAGGACAAAAGGCAAAGAGATTTTTGCAACTGAGCTTGAAATTGAGAATTTGAAGACATCTGGGGGTTGGCTAAGTAAGTTAAAGCTGCGACACAAACCTAATGGATGATTGGCTAGAAACCGTTTAGCCTGGACTTCAGGGATGTTGTGACAGACGACATTTTAATGCTGATTCGTTCATGTTCTGTTCAATCTGGATCCAACATGACAGGTTCAGTGAAAATTGTTTTTTAATATGAAATTCGAAAAACCCTAACTGCTTTAAAAATATTAAAAATCTACCCTCGACCAACAAAGTAAACAATAGGGGAATAATAACTTCGGTAATATTTTATAAGAAAATGCTAAGCTTAAAGGAAAAAATTATTATGCTTGTAGGCAATTGTTCTTCTTCTTTGGGTGCCGTCTTCAATGAAGGTTGGCGATAACCTCAGCAAAATCATTTCTGTCCCTGGCTTTTCTGATTAAAGATTGAGAATCCAAACCAGTCCACTCACGAATGTTCTTCAACCAGGACGCCTGCCGTCTACCAGGACCACGTTTTCCTTCTACCTTCCCCTCTATAAGAAGCTGCAGTAGCTGGTATTTCTCATTTCTGCATATGTGTCCCAAATATGAGGTTTTCCGTGTTTTCATTTTGCAAGCAATTTGCAGCAATTGTTCTGCTTATCCTGTATTGTGCGACCTTCAAAAAATTGAACTTTCTTTCCTGCTATCCAACAAAACGAGTGTCGTTCAGCCCGTGGACCAAACTGGCATCAAGAATTTAAAAAGCCATTACAGGACAAGACCTTTGATATAATTGGTTGAGTTAATGACGATTTCAAACTAAATGTTCTCGACATCATCCAATAATTATTAAATCGTGGGATTTGGTGACGAGCAATACGACAAAAAATTTCTTTTAATAGGCAGGGTGGCTGGAAGATCAAGGATTGGCTGAGGATGAAGATGACCTACTGTTAGCTGTTTGGACCAGAGAGTTTGAACTTCCTATCATCTACGGACCGGTGGAGCTAACAAATTTTAAAGAAGTTAATAAAAATATAACTACAACATTTAAGCTTTCTGACGACAACATTTTATAAGCAGTTCTTGCAAAAGAAGCAGAAATATAGTGACCTGGAAGTGGACGCAGAACTAGAACGAGCTTTGACACTTCAGCATGCATTAGATGCGGCAAAAGGAAGTTGCTGGAAGATTCTATGCGTCTTAGGATAAAATCAGGTCAATTCTGTAAAAAAAAGAAAAGAAAACAGACCAAGGAGACAAACTTTTTCGTTGATATAGACTAAATATAGGATATAATCTATTTTCTGCATTGGATGCGGTTAAAGCACTTCATCGTTTTTTTACCCACGAAAAAGACAATACGATTGCTGTAGAAGATTCTATAAATGTTTAGGACAAGGTCAGGTCAGTTCTGTGGAAAGAGAAAATTATTTTTTATGCAGAATTACTTCCTAAAGTTTACTACACTTATTTACAACACCCTGTATATTATGCGAATATTTTTATTTAAATGGACTAAAAACCGGTATTTTGAACCTTTGTCACTCAGAAACAATTGATTTCTAAGTCTTGGGACAATAAGAACGATTGCTCAACTTCTCCCAATCTTCCTATTTGCAAAGTTTCCGCCAATTCAAACGAAAACAAATAACAAAAATTCTTTTATTTTTGTAAATTAGTACCCTCTATAAAATAACCTTTTTATTGATTAAAATGTGGTAGTATAATTCACATTCATGAATACTCTATTTACATAATCAACCAAACAATACTTGATTTAACTTCATAGCAGAGCGCCTAATGCAATTTATTACAAAAAATGATCCTTGAGAGCCCCAAGAAAAAAAATATCAGAGGTGAAATTACAGTATTCCGTGTAAAAACTCTTCTATCTTTTTGCCTTTTATCATGTAATTCTTTCTCTTTTCCCTTAGATTGGCTATGAATAAAAGATTCGGAGATAGAAGCGTGTCCCTTATTCAGGACGAGGCGGACGGAGCCCTTTCAGCACCTGAAATGCCTTCCTCCATACGAAGGGATCGAGGTAAGTGAAAAAAGGAGACATAAGAATGGGCGGTTACTCGAGATTTTTTCAGGTTATAATAATAAACATATACTTGATCTACTTGAACTACTAAATAAACTTTGAAAAATATTTACGTAATATGTGATTGTAGTCAAATAAAAATGTTGCTGTTGTTGCTTTATTTTTAGTTAAATTGACAATTTAAGTAATTTTCACACTTTTCTAGTACAAAAGTGTGAAAAAAAAATTAACTTATTATTTTACTAATTTAGATTTCAATTTTCTTAATATGATAGTAGAAGCTAACCATCCCATTTATTTTTGTTTATGAATTGCTTTTTTCTAAAATTTGCTATTTTTTTATACTTTTACCTAATTTTATTTAGAAAGTGTGGATATTATCAAAGAGTTATTGAGACAGTTATATTGTCGTCAGAGAGGTGTCCTTAAAAACAAAAATTTAACGTGTTAAAACTTTGATTTCACAGTAGAGAGCACCTTAGTAAAATATTTAAATCTATTCGCTCCGTGCGTGACCATGGTAGGGATACATTGAAACGATGCCAGCGTGCGTAGCGGCGAAATATGACAAAATGGAAATATTGGACAAAATATTTTTACGCATAAATTTTATCAAAAATGCGTGCAAATACACGTTGCGTATTTAATTGTGCTAATAATAGCAAAAATGGTGATTGTAGTTTTCATAGGTTCCCAAAAATTACATATAAATTAGAAAAAAGAAAAAGATGAATTCGTGCTATTAATATGAAAAAGTAAATTTCACATAGTTTCATTTTTATGCAATTGAAATAGAAAAAATTTAAATAATTTACCTTGAATGATATTTCATAAGGCTACAAGCTAACTGCAGATGACTTTAGCTTTTATATCCTAACTTTTACTATTATTGTGTTTAATTATATGCTCTTTTGTGTGAAAAACTTGATTTCCCAGTACTAGATTTTTCCCTTTCTTTTCCGTTTGGAGTTGAAAAGGTATATTATGATGAATTTTGAGAAACCCAGTTTTTAATACTACATTTATTTTGTACATAAACTTTAAAATATAGCTAAAAAACTAATTTATTAATAATTGTCAATTTCGCATGTATTTAACAATGTCAAACATATGTCATAAGTTTAACCTGAAAATTGGGATTCCCAAATTGTCAGATGAAGGCGGTAGGTGTCGCATCAGTCACGCACGGAGCGAATAAACAACTAACAAAACGTAAAAAATGGAAGAACTGGATCTAATAATAAACAACAAAGCTATACAGTGTAGAAACCGCTTCTTTTTTTTTTCATTGGCACTATAACTCTAAGTGACTTTTGGTCTCGTTTACTATGTTCCTCCACTCTGGCCGGTCTTGTGCAGCAATCTCCCATTGTTGCACCCTCCTCTTATGTGAATTTCTCATTACTGCATCGTTTTACCTTTTATGTAACAATAAAACCCTGAAAACTTTGTTTTCAAACTTTCACAAAATTTACTTTAACTCTTATCACTACAGCTGTTTCGGCTGATTGCCTTTCTCAAGTGATCAGTCGAAACAGCTGTAGTGATAAGAGTTAAAATAAATTTTGTGTAAGTTTGAAAACAAAGTTTTCAGTGTTTTATTGTTACATAAAATGAAATTCCATCAAGTAACGGTCGAATCCATCAATGTTTTACCTTTTTCTTGGACGAACAACTGATCTTCTGCCATTGGCAGATCCCTTAATGTATCTTACCATGTTTTCTTCTTTGCAGAGTGCTTGGAGCTCCTGTTTATGTCTTCGCCTATACTTTTCTATTATCTCGTCTCTAGAAGATCGTCATCCCAAATATCATCGGAGGATTGTTTGTTCTGACTAATCATTTTAATATTTTACGCTGGTGCAGTGTCCACGTCTCATTCCTATACGGTTGTTATGGAATACAAAACAATTTATGAAATAAAATTCAAGTCTAGCATAGTCCATAATTTTTATATTCAGTCCAATCTTTAAAGTAGTTAGGGTAAACTTGTCCATAGTGGGAATTTAACTCTCCGGGCACATATTACTGTGCGTTTCAATATTTGGGAAATGTAGCTAAATTTTCATGTTCAGAGTTTTTTTAATAATATGCCAAAATGTATCCTTTTTAACCTGAATTTGGTATGAATATCTAAACCATACATAACCTCAATATAGCCTTATTCTGTTTAAACCTAGTTCTACCACTTGGATAAAATTGTTGGTCATTTGTATTTTGATGTGCCATGGTCCATAGTGAAAATAAAAAAGCGGTCCATGCCAAGATATGGTAACATAATTCGGTACATGCTGAAATATACTAAAACATTTGCTCCAACTGTTAGCAGTTTTCGAAAAAAGAATAGAGGATTATGAAGTATATGCAAGGTCTACGGATTTCGCAGTATAAGCTGTTGTAGAATATCAAATGTAATTGATAAGTACATCCAAAAAAAATGGTGTAAGCAAGTCGGCTCTGTAGTGAAAAGTAAAGAAGTACAAACTAGCTAATGAAGCTAATGAAGAAAACACACATGATTCTGAATATGGACAACTTCAAAACAATATTTGCAAGTAGAGATGAACTGCCATTGTGCAAGTACATAATTTAGGCTTGTAAAATGTGCTACGTCTTAACATTAATACATACTCGTGAATTGGCTGATAAGTATGCTATACTAATAATAAAACGGTGCCTCGAGTTTGGCACGAAAAGAAATGGAGTCGAGTTGTTGAATAATTTTAGGAAACGACATCCTATTGTCGTACGATCGTAGAATAATCCTTCCCGTTTTCAGGAGTATCTGGATGCTCAGCGACCGCCGCTCTCGAAGATGATCTCAGGTTACGAGGATACATCTTTGTCTAGGAGTTCTCTAGAATTCCGGCTTATTCGTTTGAGAAGCTCCGCCGAGCCTCTGTGGCCGAGCTCTCTGAGAGGACGCCGGCAATCGGAATTCTCTAACAATTCGAGTTTCTTACAATGACTTAATTTCTTACAATGACAAATATCTGTTAGAATTCCGTTGCGTGGTGTATGTCTCAAATCCACAGAGATGCCGGCCTTCTCACTTCGGATCACCGCGTTCCTTCTCCTAACCATAACGAAGCGTCGTTATGGCTTGACTCTGATCGGTGAAAGCGATTGCCAGTCCCCATCGGGCCTTCTACTCTCTCTTTACCGTCGTCATCCAGAAGATCGCTGGTGTTAGTTCGACACAATTTAGAATAGTTATAAGACCACTGTTTTTCTATTTCAAAAAGATCGTCTTACTGACTGAAAGCGTTCTATAGCCAACACGTCGGTTCTCGTGCTCCGAAGTGTATTTGCAGACAGTGGATGAAGTCTTCTTTATATTCGACGTTTTGTTTTCAAAGTATATATATCTTCTAATCTCCGACGAAGTTCTTGTATACTTAAATATTTGACGTATAGCGACGATTAGGTATTTATATTAATAATGAAACAACAATGTTACTAGATAGCGTACCAGACCAACAAGGTCTAGTAGGGCTAGAAGTATCTAACGACTGAAGTTCCGATCAGAAGATGTGCTGCTCTTTTATACACATTGTGTTTGAGAATTCGCAGCGCTCTTCCGCCGAGAGGCCAATGACAGCGAAGTTATTAACGAGCGCTGTCATTGGCCGGTCAACGTAACAATCTTTGTCGAGATTGGTTACTCTGGCTACACTATGTTACCGCTAGCCTTGGCAGGACACTAGCTTCAACAAGCATAATGTGACTAATTTTTTCACAAACTTGAAAAGTGTAATAACCAAACATATTATCCAGTCGAACCAAATATACAATTGTGATAAGACTGGTGTCACCACTGTGCAAAAACCTGGAAAGATACTTGCTAGCATTAAACAAAAACAAATTGGAAAAGTGACAAGACTAAAAAAGGCACATTAAAAGCAATACGCACTTCCTTATGCTCTAATAAGACGTTTGTGCCTCCATTCTTTGTATTCCCGAGGAAAATATTTAAGCCTTTTATGCTTACTGAGTGTTCTTTAGGATCAGCCGGTGCAGCTTCTCTCTCTGGTTGGATGACGGGAGACAATTTTTTGAAGTATATAGAGCACTTTATCAAACACGTGAGATGCATTAAAATATTTTAAGTTCTATTACTTCTTGATAACCATAAAGATAATGGGATTATTTTATTAACATTGCCGCTTTATTGTAGTCATAAATACAACCGCTCGACGTGAGCTGCTTCTTTTCATTTAAAAGCTATTCTAAACGAGGAGTTGATGACTGAATGCTAAATCATCATGTTATACATATGATCATTTATGATGTTTGTAGTGTTTTTGGTATCACCTACCCTAAAACATTCACTCCTGTGAACAGTTGTAACTGATTAAAGAAAACAAGCATCGCACTCCTGAATTCCCAAATTTTTTCAGAGTCATATCTTTTCGTATGTCATTGACAAACCCGAAGAAAAGAAAATGAAAATGATGGCTAAATTAAGGCTAACAAAGGTGTTTAGGATCTGAAAGGTATTCAGCATGTAGATGTTCAGTATATAACAGCTTAAAGACAGGCCAAAAACACTTTCAGAAGAGAAAAAGCAGAAGGCTAAAAAAGTTTAACGTCAAGTTTTTAATGACGACATTAGTTCGAACAGTGATATTAGTAAAGAGATTTGCAACGATTCACATCAGGTTAGGTATAGGTTAGGATAAGTGGAGATGAATATAATATCTGTTTACTAAAGCTGCCCCCCCTGCCAGTAATCAAAGTATAGCTAGGGTTGCTCGCTAGTTTATATTTCCTGTAAATTTTTTCCAATTTAAAATAGAGTAAAAGTATTTTTTATTAAAAATCTCATTATGTAATCCAGTCGTCAGAGATTTGACATTATGATTTGATTATGATTTGATATGTATGAAATACAATTATGTGTGTCCTTTGCCACTGCGTGATGTTTATGGTCTAAGATTTTCCTCTAAATCGTCTATCCACCTTTTACGGGACCTTCCGCTTGGCTTATTTACTTGGAGTTTCTATCTCTGGATTACTTTTATAGCTCGATTATCTTCTTTTTAAGTGAACAACACTTTAGCCTTTGCGACTTCACAATTCTAACCATGTTTGCGCTTTTCATTAATTCATCCAGCTCATAGTTTATTTGTATTTTCCACGAACCATCGCTGCAATGGGTTGGTCCAAATATCTTTCTCAATATTTTGCGAATATTTTGAGAATATTGATACTTAATTTATAAAATGGATGTCTGTGTTTAACCAATTAAAAAAAATATATAAACTAATTTAAAGCGTGATATATTATTAATTTCAATGTATTTAATGT